TCACTGGCCTCCATCCTCTCGTGCATGTCACGGAGGCGGATGGCCTTCATCTCGATTTTGATCTCCTTCTCCTTGCTGGTGCGCAAGGTCTTCTTGATCTCACGATATTCCTTCTCTCGCTTCCACCGCGTCGTGTCCGTGTCCTCTAGCAGCATGCCACGCTGCAGGCACTGGAGCTTGTCTTTGTGCTGGTTGCTTCCCTGTGTGGTCGTCACATTGTGCTCGCAGTCGCCTATGCGATCTCGGGCCATCTGCTCCCCCTTGAGCTTGCCCTTGGCTTCGCTCGTGGACTCGTGCGTCTCGAACTCACTGCCCTTGCCTCCGCGCTGCACGGAGGCGCAGGTCTTCTTTCCTCGACGACACTCGTCGCAGTTCTTGACCATCAGCTCATACGCCTCGAGAACACCTTCCTCTATCACGTCGCCGAACTCGACCGCGATCTTCTCGCGCGATGAGTGTCCGGTTCTCTCGTGTAACCCGCGAGCCTTCAGCGTCTCCTTCTTCGTCGGTGCAGTAGATTCCTTGCGTCGGCGCGGTGCCTTCTGCCAGGCCCCTGCTTCCTCATCATCATCATCATCATCGTCTTCGTCATCAGGTACAGCAGGTAGGTCGTCGGAACGCGAAGAGGTAGATGCCCGATGTGGCTTCTTGCGCGCCCTCGGTCCGCACTCGCACTGGTCCAACGTCGTCCGACACAACGCGCGCACCGTCACCGTCGCAGCCGCAGCGGCGCCGGATTTGATCTCCTCAGACTCGGCACCCGCAGCGTCCATCGTGCAGATCTCCGCGACGTCGGTGCTATCCTCCTTCACGTTCTCGTCCGACTCGACGTGCGCACCAAGCTCCTCAATGGCACCCAGCCCCTTCTCGGGGTCCTCATCGTTCGTCACCTTCGGCTTCTTGATGGCGTGCTTCTCCGTGAAGTCCTTCTCGTAGCGCTCGAGGGCCGCCTTGGTCGGTGCGTAGATCGTCAACAGCTTTCGCACCTGGGTCGGGATCCTCCGAAGCTTCGTCACCTGGTCCAAGCCAGACCAGTCGACCATGTCCTCGAGCTTCTCGAAATAGATATCGTCCTCGCGCTGTCCGAGCATCATCCGCCAACGGAGGTAGGGCTTCGGAACAGGCTGAGCCACGCCTGCATTGCACCTCACATCCGCAATGCAGTCCTCGAAGTAGGTGTAGCCCTCGTGAACAAATAGCTGGTCAGCAGGTCGCTGCCTCTTGGGATACTTCGAGCGGTAGTACTCACCTCTGCGTCCTTTGAGCTCCATCCTCTGCTTGGCGATGATCTGACCGCCATGAGATCCTCCGTCAGCCGGTACTCACCGGTCTGGGGTACATACCTCATGTAGTCGCCAGCGCGGACGTCGTGCTTGGTTAGGCAGTCGGCGAGCATCTGCTTCGTGCTCACCCACTTGCTCACCACGTCGTTGAACTCCAGATCGTTCTTGAGCGACTCGATATCGATCAGCAGCCGCTTCTCGGAGGGCACCGTCCCCCGCTTCTGGAGCAGGTCGTAGAGAGACTTACAGTCCGTGACTTCCACCATCCTGATCGCCTTCACGTCGTCCATGTGGGTCCGGTAACCCAGTCCGTAGTGCAGCTCCACCAAGTGCTGCCTCAGCATGTCGCCACTCTCGCCCGCCTCCAGCGCCGCCGTCGTCTTGGCCGCCAGGGCACTGCGCACCGCACCCTTCATCCGGTGCGATCGCCACAACATGGGGGTGACCTTGGCCGGCCTCCCGCGAAGGAACTGATCGTCCTTGTCTGCGAGCAGGATGACCAAGCCCGCCTGACTCGCGGTCTTCGCCTTGCCCGCCTTGCCGTGACTCGAGTCTCCAAACGCCACCGCGATCGCGTCGTCTATGTTGATCTTCTGATGGTCCGTCTTGGCGTCGCTCACCAGTTTGTTGAAGTCCAGCAAGTCCTGAACCTTCACGTCGCTGTCGTGAGCCCTCGTTTGACTCTCCACCAGTCGAAATGCCAAGTCCATGCGGGTAGATCGCACCAGCCACTGAATCTTGCCGTTGCCGCTGTGGAGCATCGCCCTCTCCTCGGGCGTAGCCTTCGCTTCCTTGTCCCTGCGACGCTCGTTTGAGATCGGAATATTCTCGATGCTCTCGGTGTGCTCCCTCTGGCCGCAGGTGATGGTGCCGTCGTCTCTCTGCTTGAGGAATCTCCCGCAGTGGTGGAAACCGGTCTTCGCCGTCTGCTACTTGCCGCAGCAGTGCATCTTCCTCAGCTTAGTCACCCGGTTACCGAAGAACTCGGGCGAGCCCGCTACCAAATCGTCGTCCACGCGCGCCCCGATCAGGCCGATCAGCTTCTCATTCTCGTCGTGGAAGATGAAGAGAGACGGGCGTAATTTCGATCTCGACGCTCCTGGGAGAGACAGCACGTAGATCCCCATCTTCGCTCTCAGCACCGTACCTTCTGGAACGGCTGGCCAGCCCATCTCCGGCGCAGCCGGCAGGCCGCCCCCCTGCGCGCGGAAATACACGCGTCGAGAGCTGTCGAAGTACTTCCCGTTCAGAAATGCCGAGTCGACGTCGCCCTGTTCCAGCTTAGCGGCCTCCTGCAGGATCACCGCCGTGGCCGTGTCCGTCAGAGCGGGGGCGTTGGTCTGCAACTCGCCAGCGAGCAGCTGCTTGTCCTTGTATCCTGGAACAATGTTCCGTGACTTCGCCTTGAGCGGGTGCTGCTCGTACGACAGGTTGCCCCCTGTCGCCTCGTTCTTGTCCGTGCGAACGCGCCTCATGGGCAGGACCGCTGTCATGTCCACCCCCGCGAGCTCCTCCTCGGTCGGCCAGTCCACTGCGTCGCACTCGACCCACTTGCGCCAGTCCTCCAGGTCGCTCGCGTCGAAAGCCGCCCTCCACTCCTGTGGGATGCTGCGGATCTCCCGGCCCTTTTTGGGAGTGACCTGCATCTTCGTCGCGTCGGTCCACTGGGACAGAAACGCGCCCCGCTGGCGGTTCCTGACCTTGACGAAGAGTGCTTCATGATCCATAGGGTCGTCTGGTACCTTCGGAAGGCGCATGGAACTGCCCTCGAGAGCCTCGCGGCGTCGTAGCCGTAGGCGTTCGCGATCTGTCTCCTGGTCGTCGGGAAGCGTTCGCTTGTAGCTGAGTCGTGGTGCAGGTTCTGGCTGCTCAGCTCGATCTGGTTGCTGTCGCTGTTGATGCGGAATACCTGGCGCAGCCGCCGCGTCCAGGTCCATGGCGTGCCCCTGCCAAGCTGCCGCGGCAGGTGGGTCTGTAGCTTGTTCAAGGAACCGGTCCTCCTCCCGGTAGCGGTGGTACTTCAGGTAGGTATCCAGGTACAGGTGCGTTATCCTCCTCGCGTTCCTTATTCGGTGTCGCCTCGACCACTGGCCGTGGCGGTGGTGGAGCCCGGCTCGGCACGCGGTGCCTTAGCCGCAGGCGTGTCGATCGCGCCGTCCTCGTTGTCCGAGTCCTTCTCGCCCCTCTCGCGGCGCGCACCCGTCTTGTCGCTCCCGTCTGGCCCAGGTCCGCGCACATCAATAGACCCCTTCTGGAGAGTAGGTCCACCACGCCAGTGAGAGAGCTGCCTGACCAAGTCCTCGTTCTCCACCATCTCCGCCTCGCTCCGGGAGGCGTGTCGCACCTGCTCCGGCGTCGCGAGCACCGGCGCCCGGCGGCAGCTGCAGTGTAGCCTCGTGCGGCCTTCGGTCGCCATCGCGATCGCTGGCCCACGCCAACCGCGCTCGCCCTGGAGCCTCTTCGACTTCGCGCTTCACCGCGCGCCAGTAGAACGCCAGCTGGCCCGGCACGAACGGTCCACGCGGTGGGCGAACTCGGCCAATCATGGCCCTCCTAACGGCGTCGTCGCTGTCCAGCTCGAAGAACGCCCAGTTCGCCGCCGCACGTATCTGCTCTGCTCTCTCCGGGCCCTCCTCGAAAAGAGCCGCGCTCTGTGATGCCAGCTGCCGATGGTCGCCCTCCATCGGCGACCGGCTCAGCGCGTAGGGGTGAAGCCATTCCGCCGAATGTGGTTGTTGCACGCGCTCGCTATCACTGGTGTCCACACATGCGGATCGTCGTCCTTGGTGAGCTGCACGTGGCGGTTCAGGCGCTGGAAGTGGTCCTTAAAGAAGTCGATCGCGCGCTCCACTCGACCCTTGAGCTGGGGCGCCTCTACTGGGACCGGCCTCATCAGGATAGTGTACTTCTCTCCGATCTCCGCGAACCGCTTCGCGATGTGACCCCTGGCCGCGTCGTAGTGCAGCACCTTGGGTGGCCCAGCCCACGATAGCCAGCCTTGCGAAAAACATCGCAGGCTCTCCTCGCCGGTGATGGACCTCACTGCAGCGGTAGGGATGATTACCGTCCAAGATCACCATCACCATCAGTCGGGTCCGATCTGCAAGTATCACCTCGGCTTCGTCTAGGAACACGTTCTCGTTGAATTCCGCCGCGAGCTTCAGGTTCGAGCGTCTCACCGCAGTCGGCCTGCCGAGATCCTTCCACACGCCGCAGTCCAGCTTGTCAACCGCGCCCAGCACCTGCCGTGACGCTCCGCAAGACTTCAGTCGCCGCTTCAGTGCGTGAGCAGAAGGATGGCTCAGGTGAGGTGGAGCTTCTTGAGAGCGCCCCACTGGGCCGCGGTGGTGTCCGAAGGCTTACCCCCGAAACCCTCACACTCATGTTGTAGGTCTCCATGTGCCGCGTCAGCTCCGCGATCATCTGGGGCAAAGGTCTTGGGCTTGCTCCCGTAGATGTGCACCGTCGCAGGGAAGGGCGCCTGCACCTTCGGCTCCTTCACGTAGACCGCCAGCACGCCCTCGCCGGAATGCATCGCGCAGATGCGCCGCAATGCCCCGCGAGGGGGCGGGACCTCCTCGTCACCCGTGAACACGCGCACGTCGATCAGGTCTTTCCTTAGCTTGAACGCCTTGGCCACTGCGTTCGCGATCTGCTTGCTCGGGGACCTCGCCGCGCCGCTCCCGATGCCCATCTCCCTCGGGCTTGTCCGTCGCGCCAGCTCGTGCGTGCCGGCGCCCGCCAGAGCCTTGCCCAGGTCGCCCGGCCAGGCGCCCGCCTGTGCCAGTGCCGTGCTCCGCCCGACCATGTCGGCACGCTGGCGGCCCCCGTCGCGCCTGCGCTCGAGCCACCCGGGGAAGCACGAACCGTTGGGCGCCATCATGCACGTCGGCTTGCGAATCGGGTCGCCGCAGTTGTCCGCGAGCCCGCGCGTGCGCTGGTGCAGCGCGACCGTCTCGTAGAGTGGCGTCTTGTTCCCGCGCCAGCTCAGCAGGTAAATGATCGGAACTTCCCGCCGCGCCCGGCTGGTTAGGAGATTCTCGCCGATGCCGATCCGTCCTCCTTCAGCCTGAATCTTGAGCACCTCCGCCGAAAAATCGATCAGCGGCCGAAGCTCCTGGATGAGGTCGCCCACCCTGTCGCCCGTGCCCTGGGCACGCTGTAACTCTTGCATATTCGCATGGGCGGCACACAGGAATGCGACCGAAACCGCCCAGGGCTTGAAGGTCCGAATCAGAAAAAGGAAATCTGATCGCGTCCGAGGGTCGTTAAAGTTCACGCCAACTGACAAGTCCGAGGGGTCGCATTCGCGCGACCACCCTTCGAAACTACATGAGTAGAGCGAGCTTTCTTCGCGAACAACTCCCAGAGAAGCGTCTCGTCGTTGCCGCGCAGCACATCGAATATAACCGCGTTCTCCTTCATGAGCTTGTCGATCCGCTTGAGCGCGCCCTTCTTGAAGATCCCCTTGTTGCCATTTTCCGTTGCCTCCTGGGCCCGCCGATCGGCGTCGTCCTTGACCCTGAAGTCTGGCTTGGACACCTGCAGCGTCTCCGCGACCAGGAAAACCTCCGGCTCGACTTTCTCGACGTCGATGCGGAACTTCTCGAAGAGGGGCCCCGCCTCGCACGACTCCAGGCCGCAGTCGAAGATGTCGACGCCCGCGCCGCCGCCGGGAAGCTTCACGAGCCCCTTGTCGTGCACTCCGAGCTCCTGGAAGTCGGCCCACTGGCCGTCTTGTTGCAGGTAGAGGTCCGTCTTCCAGTCCGCCAGGTTCTTCTTGCTCGTCAAGCAAATCATGCCACCGGGGATCTCGAAATACTCCTGCAGGACATGCTTCTTGCCAATACCGATCGGGATGATCCACTTCTGCTTCGCCTCGCGTCGTGCGCCGCCAAATCCCTTGAACTTCTGGCTCGCCTCGACGATGATGGGCCTCAGACCGCACTTCTCGAGCTCCACCGCGATCTTATCCAGCCAGCCGCGCCCTGCCACCGATACGGAGGCGCCGCTGTCCACCAGGGTAGCTGGCACGATCGTGCTCGAGATCATCGCGTCCACTTCTGGCACTTCCGGTAGGATCGGGTCGCTCTCCACATTGACCATCATGATGTCGTGCTCGGCTGGCTCCTGGAGCTTCTCCGCCGCGGGCCCCAAATCCTGGACGTCCTCCTGGTGGAACATGTCCGGCATGACGCACGCCGGTGTGGTCATCGCCTAGAAACCCAGCCGTCGTGGACGGGACTGACCCTTCGAGATCTCGCCGCGGCCCTCAAAGCCCTTGCCTGCCGGCCACGGAGGTCGTGGCGTCGGGCAGCCTGGTGCCGCATGGTCCATTCGTCCGCAATTGGTGCACCTCTTGTCCTTGGACTTGCCATTGCTGCCGTCCTTGCCCTTGCCGCCTTTGCCGCCTTTCCCAGCTGCCTCGCCGCCGGCCGCCGCGCTCTCGTCCGCTACTCCATCGATTCGTCCCTTGAAGAAACCTCGAGCCGCCCGGATCTTGTTCATTTTCAGCCTGCTCTCGCGCAGCGTGACGAAGGCCTGCTGGCACTCGTCGTCCTCGCTCGCGAGGTAGACGTCGGTGTCGTCCTCGATGTAGAACATGTCGCTGCTGTCCCAGCTGTCGTCGCCGTCCTCCGCGAACGCGTAGACGCCGTGCTCTCCGCCCCACTCGTGCCAGTAGCCGTCGTCGTCCTGGACCCAGTACCCGTCGTGCTCGACATTCTGGACCTCGTCCTCCGGGTCACGCTCGCGGTCGTTGTAGTTCGCCCATCGCCAGCTCGTCTTCGATCCCTGTCGATCCCGGTGCCGACCTCCGCCTCGTGGAAAGAGGTCATTCAGAGTCGTGCTAATCTTCTGGAAGTTGAAAGTCTCATCTGCACGTGCTGTCACTAGATTGTGCTCGTCCTTCTCCAGTCCGCTTCTCTTCAGCGCGTGGTACCCTAGCTCGTTCGCACTGGTCTTCGCGTCTGGGTCCACTTCCTCGATATTGCGCTTCGCCACCTCCATCGCCGTACAAAACGCCGCCATCGGCTCTTCGCCCTTCTTGTCGAAGTGCGTTTGGTCGAAGAAGGCGTCGAACGCCTTCGGCAGCTCCCTGAAACTGCTCTTGGCGAAGCGCTGTTCTCCGAAGAATCGCAGAAGTATCTGGGCGCCGCCCTCCGTCGCGTAGTCCTTCGGGTTCGTCCGTTCTATCAGCACGCTAATGGAGTTGTCTGCGCCCAGCAGGTTCCTATACAGCTTCGGACCGAGCGCCTGCTTAGACTCCTTACTCTCGCAGCTCAGCTCCGCCGCTTGAGCTGCCCTCTTGTATCTAGTGAAATCCTTCAACGTTTCTCCTTTCAACACCGGTATCTTCGGGTCGACCGCGCTGTTGTACTCCGCCATGTTCGTAATTTCCGAAATGGCTAGACTCGATATTCTCTACGTCCTTTTGGTGGAGCTGTGGGGCCAACCACAGGCTCTGCTACCAACCTCGTTCTCGCTGGAGCTCTCCCTCGCTCGATCGTGTCGTCGGCGAGGTTCGTCCCAGCTCAAACACTGTCGTCTCTGCCGAAACCTCTATGGCTCCTCTACCCCGATGCTCCTGCTGTAGGGGAGGGGAGCCGCCTTTTATCGGCTCGAGCCTAAGCGCCGGCGTTGCATACACGCACGCTAATCACTTGCAACATCCTAGATTCCCAGGGCAAATCCTCTGGAAATCTTCAGAAATTCTCCATCATCCTCCTTCCTCCTTGTCCCTTCGCTCCATATGTCATATCTTCCCCTGCGTCCACGGCTGCACGAAATAAATGCTGCAGTTAACAATCCCCAAAAGGGTGCGATCGAAGCCAAAGAAGGGCGGGTATCCAGGGTTTGGGATATACGTGTTGAGTGGCACGAGAGCGCATAAGAGCGAACAACATTAAACTTAACATCGCTGTTACTGCTGTAAGCCGGGGCCAAGGGCACAATAGGAAGACCACTGCTGTCCCTGAAAACCTGCGATTGCCACGAACCTCGACTTTGGAGGACAAATAGGCAAGACTTGCGAAGAAAAGATACACAAACAATAATATGCCTATAACGCGCATCATGCTGATCCCCGCGTAGTCCGTTGGACGCTGTGCCAGTTTAAACCGCTGTATGTTGGTTCCCGTGTTGTCAGTTTGATGCTGTGCCACTTTGCCAGGGCGTCTCCGACCATATTGGAGCCCTGTTGGGCTGACTTCGGGCCCCCCTTCGCCCGACCCCTGGGGGGCGCCCCCCGGAGGCCGCGAGGGTTTCCTGCAGTCAGGCGAATACATTGCTAGTGGAATGGTTGACGGACTGTTCGTGGCTGAGGCATGGGCCGCTCGCGGTTCTTCCGATAGTACTTGGAAGACCTGCAATGTCGTTCGTGCATAACTCGTGTGGCATGGTAGGGTAGACATATTACCCGTCGCATCTCTCGAGAGGAATATATGTTCTTCTGTTCTGGAAGATCTACGAATACCATCACCAACCCTGTTTTATTCCGCAAGTTATGTGCGAATGCTGTCGCAATGTTTAACGAGTCGCATAGATTCCCACGCTGCGCGCCCCGAGCGGGACTACGTTCACAGTAAAAACAATGTGCGTCAACTTCAGAACCAACTGGGCATGTCTTGCAAAAACGGTGGGTGGACCAAAAGTGGTCACGCCCATCGCGCCAAGACGACGCTGCGAGGGGCGCAGGATGAGTATCACGAGAGGGGGCAGGAGGAAGAGAAGCAACATGAAGGAGCAGGAGGAGGAAGCAGGAGGAAGAGAATGGTGATGATGAGGATGGCCCCCCCCCCAGACCGTCGTTTGGGGGTGCTGGGCGGGGGGCGAGCACATGTACAGGTGCGTCTTATATTGTGATAAGGAATGGGCCAGAGGCAGAGGACGAAGCCTTTGCGGATTCAAGCGCCCCGACAAGGCCGTGTAGCAAACGCACCCAAGAAAGGAATCGAGCAGGGCAGGGCTGCTTCGCAAATGCCAGTTATAGGGGTCGGAGAGGTTCCTCTTTAGGGAATCCTAGGGTACCGAGGCCGCTACTCCCCGGACCTCTCCAGGGGTGCGCTCTGACCAAGATGTCGAAGCGAATATATCCGTGGCGACGACGACTTCCCAGTAGGCCTGAACAGGAGGGAAACCATAGAAGTTTAGCGATATCGGTATTGGGATCTGCCCCTTGAATACGGAACGCCGCCCGCCTCTGCAGAGGAGGACGAGCAGAACGCGGAGGGCGACCCATCCCGCGCCTCCCCTGCGGAAGCGCCGCGGCGCGGCGGCGCCCGCCGCGGGCGGGGCGTGCCCCAGGGCCTCGGGCAGAGCGCACCAACCCTGCCGCCACTGCCGCCGCCGCCGCCGCTCCTTCACTTCCTCCTTCTCGTCCTCCTCCTCCTCCTCCACCTCCTCCTATTCCTGCCTCCTCCTGCCTCCTCCTCCTCCGTTTCCTCCTCCTCCTCAACCTCCTCCTCTTCGTCTTTCTCTTCCTCCTCCTCATCCTCCTCCTCCTCCTCCTCCTCCTCCCCCTCCTCCTCCTCGTCCTCCTCCTCCTCCTCATGACCATCAGCCAGCATCATCATCATCATCATCATCATCATCATCATCATCATCATCATCATCATCATCATCATCATCATCATCATCATCAGCATCAGCATCAGCATCAGCATCAGCATCATCATCATCATCATCATCAAAATCCTCCTCCTCGTCGTCATCATCATCGTCTTCCTCCTCCTCCTCAAGTCCTCCTCATCGCCTTTGTCATCCTCCTTCCGCGCTCCTCCTCTAAACCGAAGCCAGGAACGGGACATCTGGTCGGGACGAATCGGGGACCTCCCAGCGTTGGAGGCTCTGACAAATTTGTCGGTCGCCGCGGCCGTTCCAGAGCGTCCCGGAACGCTCTGAGAGCCTTCTGGGACGCTCTGGGGCGATTTATCTCTTTTCCGTTCCTGGACGTGTCTGGCACGTCCTCCTCCTTGTAGGGGGGGCGGCGGAAACTTGGGGGTCCCAAAACGGTGCGGTGACATTGCCAGAGACGTCCTCGGAGAACGGTCAACGTCCCAAAACAATGCGGTCACTCGCGCAGTGGAGCAACTTGTCCCGATCTTGGGGCTGACTGGCTGCAAAAGGGCGTCAGAACCCACTTAGCGTGATACACAACCGCAGGAAGGGTACATGAAACTGCTTCTTGGTCGCTCCCGGTAACAGGTGGCACTGCAAAAAAAAGATAGCAGCCAGACGCGCAAGGTGGTGTGAGCGCACATGAATATGCGCACAAGGCGCCCGGAATGCCAGCCATCAGGTCGCCCTGTGATGTTGCCCCGTCGTCGTCGTCCTCCTCCTCGTCGTCGCCCTCGTTGTCGTCGCCCTCGTTGTCGTCGTCGTCGTTTTCGCCGTCGTCGCCGTCCCCGTCGTCGTCGTCGTCGTTGCTGTTTGCGCCGTCGTCGCCGTTGCCGCCACTGCCGTCGTCGCCCACGTCGTCGGTGGGGCCTTTCCCTGGGCACGAAACGTGGGGGGGGGGGTGAGCCACCTTCAACTTTTCCACATTCGAACCTTGCTAGCGCAGTCCACGGCGGAGCTCTTCATGGGCCAGAAGCATGACAGCGGGCGCACGGGGGAGGACGATCTGTTATTCTGCCAATTTTGGTCGTCCTCTTTCTGGCCACGCAGGACAGAATCACCGAAACAACGAAAGTCATCGGAGCAAGGGGCCATACATAGTGGCCAAGACGCAGCACCCAACCCGCGCACTAGACGCATACACACAGAACACGCACATACACACACACACACATACACACACGCTCGCACCACGCAAAGCGCGGCACACAACACGCATATAACTCATGGCCCAGGATCCCCGGAATGCCAACCACCTGGTTTGTTTCGAGTTCCACCGCCAACAAGCTGCGCGCAAAACGGGCGCAACGCAAACTACGCACGCGCAACCCAAACACGACATTCCGAACGCGCAGATAGCACGCGCGGCAGTACAACAAACCAATGCGAATCACACGAGAGTTCCTGCCCTAGCCGCCCAGAATGCCAGCCGCCGTCGTCGTCGCCCTCCTCCTCGTCATCGTCTTCGTCGTCGTTGTCGTCTTCACCATCGCCGTCGTCGTCGTCGTCGTAAGTGTTTTCGCCGTCGTCGCTGTCGCCGGCACCGTCGTCGCTGCCTTTGTCGTCGATGGATCTTTTTCTGAGCTCGAAACGTGTGATGGGTGTGCCAACCTGATACGATTCCGCATGCGAACCTTGCCTCTGGGGTCTGTGGTGCAGCTCCTCATGGATCCGACCGATGAAGGGGTGCACCCAGAAATGCCCAGGTCCGCACGCAGACCTGGCCAGCGGTGTCTCCTGTGGAGCTTCTCGGGGGGAGCCAATACGCGTGAAGGGAACATGCGCACGATGTTGAAGACGATGCTGAGGTCAGACACCGAAATCGAAGGAGGAGGGAAACGTCCCCCCCTCCTTTCTACCGTCTCCTTCTCCCTCCTCCTGCTCCCGTTTCTCCTCTGCTTCCTCGGGTCATCCACTTCGTCTTCTTCTTCCTCCTCCTCCTGCCGCGTCTTGCCCCCTCAATATCCTACCCTCCTCCTGCCTCCTCTTCCTGATTCCTCCTATTCCTCCTCCTGCCTCTCCTGTACCTACCGTACTTCCTGACTGTCATCTCCTTCTACTCCTTCTGCTCATCCTCATCCACCTTTAGCCGTGCTACCTCAGCCACCTTCTTCTTATTTTCTCTTCCCACTCCCTCTGTCCCTCTTCTCCTCCCTCCTGCCTCCTCCTCCAGCAGCCCCTCTCCTCCCCCCTCCTCGTATTCTTCCTCGTTCGCTCTTCCTGTACTCCCTCCTCCTCCTCCTCCTCCTCCTCCTCCTGCCCTCGGCCGTGCCAGCATGGGGCGGTCGTCTGTCAACGATCGGCTAAGCGAGGGTTCGATGGTTGGTGGCCAGAGCGCTTCGGAGGATGCTGTTGTTGCCTGTATCGGGGACATGTATCGCCCCCTGTCTCCAACACTGGTTGCACGTCCAGAAGTCAGTTTGCGGGTTGCGAGGCTGTGCCACGCTCGATGTTCCATCGACTGTGGATCTTGGCAACTCATCGATCAGCCCTAAAACCTTGGACCTCGATGGGCCCTGCATCAACTCCTGGGTATTCCAACAGCTACTTGGTACAAGGAGCGATTTTGGAAGGCGAAGCGCAGCGAGCGTTCAAACTCTTGTATAATATATATATATATATATATATATATATAATGTACACACAAATATTCATATATACATATCTATGGTCGTCGCGGGTGGCCGACTCGTCACACCGTCAGACGAGCCGCGCGGAGGACCCCCCGCGCGTCCAGTTGGAGCGCGTTGCTTTACTTTCGGCGATAATGGGCATTATAGGGGGGAAAGGGGGGAAAGGGGGGGGCATAATGTAACGCCTCCCCCCCGCTGTGTGGCTCCAGCACCACAGCCGCGCCCGCGCGCACGACGACGATGAGCGACGAGCGACGAGCGACGACGACGACGCGCGAAGCATGTAGGTGACGACCTGCCCCACAGCGCCTGTGTACACCACAATGCTCGCGTGCACCACAACGCGCGTGTGTATGCCACAGCGCCTGCGTACACCGCAACAGCCGTGTGCGACGCAGCGCCTGTGTACAACGCAGTGCTTACGTGCACCACAGCGCCGGTGTACACCACAGCGAATGTGTAACACCGCAGCAACCATGTGCTACACAGCGCCTGTGTACATCACAATGCTTGCGTGCACCGCAGCGCCTGTGCACACCACAGCGCCTGTCTACACCACAGCATCTGCGTGCACGCAGCGCTGGTGTACACCACAGTGCTTACGTGCACAGAACAGGTAGAACGAGCATGTAGGTGAGGATCTGACGCTGACAGCTAAACTCCACATCAGGAAAGTGCTAATCATATAACGCGACGTTTTTCTCTTCTCCCTCCTCCTCCTCCTCCTCCTCCTGCTGTGCGGATTCCTGCGGACGCCGATGCGGATCCCGATGGGCACGGCGGCAGTGCCCAGAGCGCACTGGGGGTGAGGGGCGTTACGTTATGGGTGGGAAGGGGTGGGGGGGGGGCTCTCATGCCCATCATGCCCCAAGAAATAAAGAAACACGCTCTTGTCAGAAGAGAGGCACATGAAAGACGAGACGACCGGCCCCTCACGGGGCAGTGGTTGGGTGCGGCGCCGCGGCGCCAGGGCAGCGAAGGCAGCGGCCGAGTCGGGCCGAATTAGGACGACAAGGGGCCAGCAAGACAAGGGAAAGGGGGGCCAAGCCAAGAGAGGGGGAAGCTAGGAGCGAGAAGCGACAGCGGACATCCGAGGGAGGAGACGGACGGACGCGAGGGACACGGGCCGACCGACGGGTGAGGGGAAACCGAGGGGAAGGAAGGAGACAACACACACACAAGGGGAAGCGAAGCGAAGCGAAGCGAGCAGATCCGCCGGAGCGGGACCCTTGAGGGTCGGCGAGGGGGGGCCGGGGCCCTAGAAGCAAGGTGAAGCACTGCACACGTCTAAACACCCAGAATGCTATATTCTGAAGGTTGGCCTGCCGCTCACTGGTGGACGCAGTGCTGTTTGTCGCGACCGGTATCCAACTCGACGTAGACATCTTTCCGTTCGGATTTTACTCTTTATGTAAGCTTCCGAGCCCGCTCACGGCGATCTGACAAAATTGGAGACACAAGGGGAAGGCAAGGCAAGAAGAGGGGAAGGAGCCAGCCGAGGAAGGAGGCGACAGGGAAAGAGGCACAACACAAAGGCAGGGGGGAGAAAGGCGGGGCCAGAGGCGGCCGACACCACACACACAGAAACAAAAAAGTCTCGTAACGCGCCCACTGCTGCTGCTGACTCTCTCCTTCTCACCCCCCTCCCCCGCACTCAGAGGTCGGTTTTGATGTTTGGAGGCCGATCACAATACATAAATATACGTATCTATATATATACACTAGAACCATCGCGCGCGCTTCGCGCGCGCTCAGGTTCTAGCCCAGGCCGGGGCGGCGCTGGACGATCTTGGACAACGCTATCAAGCACAGGCGCGCGACGGCATCTGAGGAGCTTCTGGGGTGTTCCGCATGCTTCGTCAACTGGCTGTTGGAGGCACCTCTTGGGTGCCTTTTGGGGGGGCATCTGAGGGTCCCTTGGGGGCATCGGTTCTGCAATCTGAAGCCGTCATTGGCCGTCTTGGCTATGTGGAGGCCCGACTTGAGGCCACCTGCGGCCAGATTGAGGCAATCCGGAAGCCTCCCGCGGGCCTCCTGGAAGCAGTTTTGACGTATGGAGGGCACTCTTGGGCTATTTTAAAACCTCTTGGACGTCTCCTAGGGGCCTTTTGGGCCCTCGGGAAACTTTTGGGGTCCTCTTGCGGCCTCCTGTGGGCCTTTTGGGGGGAACGCTCTGCTGTTGGGTCGCGTTCCCCTTCTTAGGCCTTTCTTGGGGCTCTTGGGGCCCTCTCGGGCCGTCTTGGGCGCCTCAAGCACCGTCTTGGGGCCCTCGCGGGCCGTCTTGGGGCCCCCTTGGAGGCCTCTTCCTCTATATGGGAGCGGTATTGGAAGCCTCTTGGGCCGTCTTGGAGCATCGGGATGCCAAAAGGCCGAAAAAAAATTAAAACCCGTCAAAGCCCAATCGTAAAACAATGAATTGTGCCTCTTGGGGCCACCTTGAGAGATCTCTTGGAACCTCGTCGCCCCACTTGGGAGCTTCTTTGGGGCCTCTTGGATCCGATTGGGGGCCTCTTGGGACTTCCCGAGAACCTCTCGGGGTAGAAAGCTCGGATTCTCGCTTCGTGCTTCCCTTCTTGGGCCTCTCTTGGGGCCGTCTTGGGGCCCTGTCGGCCCCTCTTGGGCGCCTCAGGCACCGCCTTGGGGCCCTCGTGGGCCGCCCAGGGCCCTCTTGGAAGCCTCTTCGGCTATCTTGGAGCTGTCTTGGAGGCCTCTTCCTCCTCCTCGTCCCCCTCCTCCTCCTGATCTTCCTCCTCCTCCTGCAGCGTGTTCCGGAAGGCTCCCGCCAGAACATGCTGTGCACAAGTGCTGTCACTGCTCCCGCCACCGTGCCCTGGGTGGTGGGTCAGAGGCCTCATGGGTGTCGGTTTGGATCTCGTGGTTGGCCTGTCGGGGACGTCGTGAAGGCAATTTCGCAGCTTCTCGGTAGCCGTTTTGGGACCGTTGTGGGGCCTCCTCGGACTCCTCGGGGCTGTTTTGTGACCTCTTCAGGCCTCGTTTGGGCATCCTGGGTGCCTCTTGGGGGCCTCCTGGGGCCTCTTGGGGGCTCCTTGGGGCCTCCTGGGGCACTCTTCAAGCCGGAGGGTAGAATTTTGGAGTCGTGGTCCCCCTCTTGGGCGCATCTTGGGGCTGTCTTGGGGCTCTGTTAGGCTGTCTTGGGCGACTCTGGGGCCGTCTTGGGGCCCTCTTGGGCCGTCTTGGGGCGCTCTTGGGAGCCTATTGAGCCAGCTTGAACGTCGGACAGCCGAAAAGGCTGGAAGGCCAAAATCGTTCGAAAACCTTTGTAAAATTGACGATTTCGGCCTCTTGAAGCGCTCTGGAAACGCGTCTTGAAGCGTCGTGGAGTGCCTTGGGGGGCCTCTCGGGCAGTCTTGGGCCTATCTTGGGCGTCCCAGAGCGGTCTTCCGGCGACTCTTGGCCCGCTTGGGCCGTCTTGGGAGCCTCTGGAGGCCCTCCTGGACTATTTTGGGCCTTTCCGGCCGCCCCGTCCTCCCATGGGGGGTCGGAGGCGGCGGCCTCTGAGGCCAAAGACGCGGAAACCTTGTAAAAACACAAAGAAAATGAGCCCCGGTACCCCCATGGAAGGGAGTCGGGGCAGCTGTTTTCGGGCACCGGGCCTCCTGGGTGCCTCTTGGGGTTCTCCTGGGGCCTCTTGGGGCCCCTTTGGGGCCTCCCGGGGCCATGTGGAGGCGGGAGGCTCGAATTTCCGGTTCGCCCGTCTTGGGCGCGTCTTGGGCCTCTCTTCGCCCGTCTTGGGCGCGTCTTGGGCCGTCTTGGGCCCCTCTTGGAAGCCTCTTGGGCTGTCTTGGGGCGTCCGCGGGGGGCCTTTGAGCCGTCGTGGAGCGTCGGAGAGCTGAAAAGGCGGGAAAGGCAAAATGTGTTCAAAACCTTCGTAAAATGATCGGTTTTGGCCTCGTGGGGCCCTCTGGGGGGGCCTCTTGGAGGCCTCTGGGAGCGTCTTGGGGGCCTCTTTGGCCGTTTTGGGCTTATCTTGGGCATCTTGGGGCCCTCTTGACGCCCTCGTGGGCCTCTTGGAGCCTGCTGGGCCTGTCGTGGAGCGCTCTTCGGGCACTCTTGGGCCGCCTGGGCTGCTCCCGGTAGGTTCCAGGCCCCCCCCGTCCCGCCATGGGGGGTCGAGGCACCTGTCCTGGGGCCCCCAGCCTCGCCCCCAGGGATATATATATATATATATATATATATATAGAGATATATATATATATATATATATATATATATTATATATATACATATATATATATGGGCAGCCCCACGTGTACCCGCGTGTACCAATGCTGCGTACCCCTTCCGAACCTGCGCATCCGACAGAAGCCAGGTGATCCGGGGGGTGGTGGGGGTGGCAGGCGGGCCCGATAACCCGGGTTATCGCTGGACCCGTGTAACAAGCAGTCACCCGCGCCGTCGCCACCGCCGCTGGTGCTGCCGAGCCCGCCAGCGTGGCCGTTGGTCGACGTCGCCGTCGCCAGCAACGTGGCCGTGGCCGGCGACCGTGGCGGCCTCCTCCGTCGACGCCGAAGCGACCTCGAGGCGCTGCCGCAGCCGCTCGATGTAGCACCACGCCTCGTCGCGCCGGCTCACCTGAAGGGCCGACTGGGGCGGCGGCGCGAGGGCTCGAGGGCTCGAGGGCTCGGGGAGCGGCGAAGCGAGGGCACGAGGGCTCGAGGGGCGAGGGCTCGAGGGGCCAGGGGCGGACGGCGGCGCGAGACGACAGACGGCGGCGGACGACGCACGCTCGGCCGCATGGCGCCGCACTGACGTCCCGGGGACGGCGGCCGAGACGATGAGGGGGAACGGTAGGGGGGGGACCGGCTCATGGGGGGGGCGTTGAGACTTGGAATCGGCAACACGTCGCCGACAGACCGGCGATATACCCCCGACAGCGAAGCAGCACGTTACTGGGCGAGGTGGGCTATCAAGCCGCTATCGGCGATGAATAGCGATGGGGGCTCGACACATCCCCCCCTGATCCTCGCCGATCCCGATGACGGCTTTCCAAGATTATCCCACCAGTCATCCGGGTTTAGGTGGTCTGACGAAGTATTTTTCTTGCGATCGGTCCGGGCGCCCAATATGGCCCAAGATGAATCCAAGAGGGCCTCCGATGCTCCAAGATGGCCCCCACCGCGGCTTAAGATAACAAAGGATGGTTCACGGTGTTTGCCGACACACCTCCAAGAGGCCCGACGAGGGCCACAAAATGGTTCCAAGTGCTCTGGGAAACCCCCAAAACCCCCGCAAGAGACCAACATCCGTAACAAAAATTACGTTACCGAAGAACCCCACATACTTATATTATGGCTGGAGTGGTGATAGCTGAAATGAAGCATGTGAGAATGATGTTGGTGGCCGATGCCCCGCCGATACCGTTGGTGACGCCAGTCAAGAGGAGAGGTGGAGAGGAGAAACGCCGCGCCCGCCACACTTTGCGAGCCCGAAGGTGATAGCGACCGCACCCCCAAGGCACCCCTTGCGGCGCCGAGGAAGTGCAACGCCTGCCACACCAGCAAACCCCGTGTGGCGTCGAGGAAGTGTCACGCCTGCCACGCTTTGCGGACCCGAAACGGATAGCGACCGCACCCCCAGCGCACTTCCTTCGGCGTCGAGAAGTTGCTACGCCTGCCACGTTTTGCGAGCCCGAAACGGATAGCGACCGCACCCCCAGCGCATCCCTTGTGGCGTCGAGAAAGTGCCACGCCTGTCACACTTTGCGGGGCCGCACCCCCAGCGCACCCCCTGTGGCATCGAGAAAGTTCCACGCCTGCCACACGTTGCGAGCCCGAAACGGATGGCGATCGCACCCCCAGCGCACCCCTTGCGGCGTCGAAAAAATACCACGCCTGTCACGCTTTGCGGAGGCAAAACGGATAGCGACCGCACCCCCAGCGCACCCCCTGTGGCATCGAGAACATGTCACGCCTGCCACACGTTGCGAGCCCGAAACGGGTATCGATCGCACCCCCAGCGCACCCCGTATGGTGTCCAGAAAGTGCCACGCCTGCTGGGCTTTGCGACAGTGTCGTGGATAGCGGCCGCGCTGAGAGACCACCCCCTGCGCACCCCCTATGGTGTCCAGAAAGTGCCACGCCTGCCAGGCTTTGCGGCAGTGTCGTGGATAGCGGCCGCGCTCAGAGACCACCCCAGCGCACCCCGTATGGTGTCCAGAAAGTGCCACGAGTGCTAGGCTTTGCGACAGTGTCGTGGATAGCGGCCGCGCTGAGAGACCACCCCCTGCGCACCCCCGATGGTGTCCAGAAAGTGCCACGCATGCTAGGTTGTGTGACAGAGTCGTGGATAGCGGCCGCGCTGAGAGACCACCCCCTGCGCACCCCCGATGGTGTCCAGAAAGCGCCACGCCTGCTAGGCTTTGCGTCCGTGTTAGCGGCCGCGCTCAGAGACCCCCCCCCTGCGCACCCCGTATGGTGTCCACAAAGTGCCACGCGTGCTAGGCTTTACGAGAGTGTCGTGGATAGCGGCCGCGCTCAGAGACCACCCCCTGCGCACCTCCGATGGTGTCCAGAAAGTGCCACGCCTGCTAGGTTTTGCGACAGTGTCGTGGATAGCGGCCGCGCTGAGAGACCACCCCCTGCGCACCCCAGATGGTGTCCAGAAGGTGCCACGCCTGCTAGGCTTTGCGACAGTGTCGTAGATAGCGGCCGCGCTGAGAGACCACCCCCTGCGCACCCCCTATGGTGTCCAGAAGGTGCCACGCCTGCTAGGCTTTGTTACAGTGTCGTAGATAGCGGCCGCGCTGAGAGACCACCCCCTGCGCACCCCGTATGGTGTCCAGAAAGTGCCACGCGTGCTAGACTTTGCGACAGTGTCGTGGATAGCGGCCGCGCTGAGAGACTACCCCCTGCGCACCCCCTACGCTGCCCAGAAAGTGTCAAGCCTGCTAGGCTTTGCGGCAGTGTCGTGGATAGCGGCCGCGCTCAGAGACCACCTGCTGCGCACCCCCTATGGTGTCCAGAGGTGCTGTGCTGTGCTGTGCTGTGCAGTGCTGAGCTGTGCTGTGCTGAGGTGCTGTGCTGTGCTGTGCAGAGCTTTGCTGAGCTGTGCTGGGATGAGCTGTGCTGTGCTGTGCTGTGCTGAGCTGAGCTGAGCTGTGCTGAGCAGTGCTGTGTTGTGCTGTGCTGTGCTGAGCTGTGGTGCGCTGTGGTGCGCTGTGCTGTGTGAGAAGGAAAAGGAGGAGGACGAGGAGGAGGGGAGGTGAGTGAGCCTCGCGGGTGCGACGCGGCAGGGAAGAAAACCAGAACCCCACGAAGCATGTGGGGAACAAAGGGTAGTCAATGATTTGTGCCTTCTTGCACTTTCGCTTCCGATGCGCCTTTGAGGCCTCAAGATGGCGCCGCAATGGCCCAAGAGAGCCCCGAGAGGCCCCCAACAAAAAGGTTCCAAAACGCCCAGGATCGGCCCAAGAGGGCCCACAAAGGCGATTTTGATGGCCCCACAGGGGGGGAACGGAAAGTTAGGACCCACCCTGCTTTAATCGATGGCCTCCAAGATGGCCCCAAGAGGCCCTCCAGGACCCCCAAAGGGCTACAAGAGGGCCCCAAGACGGCCCCAAGAGCGCCCAAGAGCGTCCCACGAAGGCCCCAAGAATTTGTTTACCTTTCTCTACTCCTTTTCCTTTTGAACCACTCCTCATTGTCGCACCCTGAGGCCAGTCGGAAGGGCGGGCCGGGCGCTTAGCCTGAGACTTCCTTACCATTCATGATCCTGACGCTTGACACTTGACAACAATTTGACAGATGGAGGGCGGGTCACATCCGAAATGTGGCTCTCGCAGCGCCGCGCACATTCGTCTTAAAGCACGTAAGAGTTTAATAGTTGAGGGCGAATGGTTTTGAAGATGTGGCTCCTGCCTTAGCACCGCGCACATTCGTCTTACACATTCGCAATAGCTTCACAATTTGAAGACGCGCCGTTCTCAAAATGTGGCTCTCGCCTTAGCGCCGCGCACACCCGTCTTAAAAGTTGCAAAAAGTTCGCGAATTGAGGGCGATTCCTTTTCAAAATGTGGCTCTCGCCTGAGCGCCGCGCAAATTCGTCTGAAACATTTGAGAGAGTTTCAGGGCGCGACAATTACGTTGATTCGCGGTGTTGAAGTCCCAGGAATGGTGTTCTGACACGATTCAGAAAAGTCAAAACGCAACAGTCAAGGTGATTTGTGGCTTTGGAGTCCCGAACATGGTGTTTTGGCACGCTTCGGGATCTTCAAACGGTTGTCTCCCTGCGGGGCACTTCCCTGAGTGGAAATGAACTCTTGTATGGGACTATGAAGTGGGAACATGGTAGACGAGTCTTGGGTCAAAATTGTCCTCCTCCTCCTCCCCTTGCCCCTGTTGTCCATGGATCAGCCGAACTTTGCTTCACTTCATGTGTCTCTTCGTCCCTTCCATCGTTAGCAATCATGGGCAGGGTTTCTGAACGGGCTGATGGGGATACGCAAAAAATGAATAATTTGTTTCGCGGGCACAAGGTCGGCGATCCCGGACCACAGGCGAACGTTCGAGGTACGGGAGCAACAGGGCCATTCCGCAGTTTACTCTCCAAGAACGGGCATTGTGCACGGGTGCCGGCTGAGCCCGCACTTGTTCATCTGTAACACCTCCCGATGAAGACGCGGACGTGTCGGCGGCCCTCGGACGGGCCTCCCCGGCTGACATCAGCGCCGACATCGAGAACACCGATGACACCGCTCTGATGTGAGACAATGGCTCGCGCTTGCAATGCGTCCTGGGAAGGTTGCTGTACTGAGCCAGCGTGCGTGGCCTGGAGCCGAACTGGTGCGAACTGGTCAACTTACAGATCCGAAGCAATTTGAGCAGTGTCACGCCGCAGGGAGCGTTGACCAAGCCGGGGAACAGGTGATTTATCTTGGCAATCTTCTGAAAGCGGACGGGCCCGAGACGTCCATCGTGCGCAGGTTGGGCGAATCCGCGGCTGCGTTCAAACCCTTGCAGAGTATTTGGAAGCATGCGAACGTCATACGTGTCAGGAAAACGCAGATGTTCAATGCGTGCGTGGCGTCGAAGCTGCAATAGCTGGAGGCACTCTGCCTGCGCCAGGTTGGAAAACACAAGATCGACGCGTTCGTGCCACCTCCAATGATTTCGCACACATTCCGAAAGACGGCTCAGGCGGCAAGCCCGCCAGCGCCGACTGAGCATAGCAGCGTTGATGAGGCAATTGGTGGCTCGTGGACGGATTGCTCCCCAGCTGGATCAATATCCACTACGGGCTGCTGTTCTGACTCCCGGCTCGCCGTCACCTCTGCGATCTACTGGTGTGAGAGCAAGTGGACGACACCGCCTGAGATGGGCCACTGTTCTGGGAGCAAGCGAAGCTTGCGACGACATCTCTCCCTCGCTCTCTCCCGCCCCTCCCGCCTCCTCCCCTCCCGTCGCCCTCCCTCCCTCCTTCTGAAGACTTGAACGCACTATTCAGGCACCCGCAGTTTGCAGCGCATGAACAGCCCATCTGAAAACCAATTCTTCTTCAACACTATGATGTTTCAATTGGGCCCATGGATGTTTCAGTGTACTCTCGAACCTCAGATTGCCGCTTGCGGCGTGGCTGGCCCCCTGCTGAGCCGACGAGTTGTGCGAAATGGATTGCGAACGAACGAGGATCAGTGATTCCAGCCCGCAGCATCCGCCGAGTCCTGAGTTCGAGCTCCGAGCATGACGACACTGGGAAATCTGGATAACCCGAAGATCCTAACATTCCCCTGAGACGATGACCGGCCCTGAACTGGGGGACAAACAAATATACTGATACTCCCAGCCCTCTCCCAGGGTGCGCTCTGACCAGACATTTCAAGAATTTCGAGGCGAATCCAGCCGTGATGACGAGGGCCTCCGAGAAGGCCCGAGAAGATGAAAACGAAGAAAGGGTAGCGGTACCAGTACCCTTTCCTCCTCTGCTTTTCTGTTCCTCGCAACGCAGCGTGGAAGAGACATGCAATCATCCCGCAAGGCGTGGAAGGAGACCGAACGGAACAACACAAAGCAACCCTTCGGCCGTTAACCTGCCTTGCTCAGCTTCGACAGCAGGCAGGCAAGCGGAGTACGAGGCCGAGGAGGGGAGGTTTGGGAGTACCATGTGGGACCTGCTCCAGAACAGGAGCGCAGAGTAGACGGATCTACCATTTCTCCGACCTTGTACTGCGCAGAACGCAACGGCCGCGATGTCTATAGACGTGCCCAACCCGAAAGTGTCTATGTACGCAACGACGCCCAGTGTGTCTATAGGTGCTTGTGGCGAGCAAGAGATACAAGAATCCCAGCAGCCCTCTGGGCGTAGGTGGTCTAGAACAGATCCTCTTCCACCCCTCCCTCTTCCCCCTTGGGGAGGGGTGTACCCCTCCCCCTACCCCCTCCCCTGGACCTGGACGGAGGGTTTCGCGAGCGGTCGGACGGCTCTTTTGGCCCCAAGATGGCTCCAAGAGCGCCTCAGCGAGCCCAAGATAACCTCCAAGATGACTCAATATAGCGCCAGATCGCTTAAGATGGCTCCTACGATGGTTCCAAGAGGCCCAAAGACGGCCCCAAGACGGCTCCAAGTGGCCAAAGAGCTCCCCAAGGAGGCCCCGAAGAGGCCAAAATCGTCTTCAAACCTTAAGAAAATCAATGTGTTTTGCTTTCTCCCCGTTTCGCTTCCGATGGCCATCCAAGGCCTCAAGATGGCTCCAAGATGGCCCAAGAGGGCCCCACAAGAGGCCCAAAAAATCCCCAAGATGGCCCCAAGAGCGCCCAGGAGCGCTCCAAGAACGCCCCAAGAGCGCCCCAAGAGGCGATGTTTGGAGCTCCTGAGGGGGGAGGCTAATTAGGGAACCCCCCTTCGCTGATCGATCTCCTCCAAGATGGCCCCAAGAGCGCCCCTACAGCCTCCAGGAGCGCCCCAAGAGCGCCCCAAGAGGCGCCCAAACGGCCCCAAGAGGCGCCCAAGAGGCCTCCAAGAGGCCTCCAAGAGGCTCCCAAGAGACCCCCAAAAAGTCTCAAGAGGATCTCCGACATGCATTTAAGACGCTTCTGGCTCTTCGGTTCGCCGTCCTCTTCAATTTATCATCCCCCTCTTCCTCCTCCTCCTTCTCCTCCTTCTCCTCCTTCTCCTCCCTCTGCTCCTTCTCCTCTTTCTCGTCCTCCTCGTCCTCTCCCTACTCCACATCCTCCTCCTCATTATCCTCCTCCTCCTCCTCCTCTTCCTCCCCCTCCCCCTCCGACGAGGATTCCTTCTCCATCCTCCCCCTCTTGGGGTACGTGACAGCTTCCCCCGCCCTATGTTATTCTGCATGCTCCCCGACTGCCCTGATCACCTCAACTCCCCTGGGCATCGTTTCTGGATGGGCTGGTGGGGATACTTTTTTGTTCTGCGGCCCGCAAGGAAACGTCCAAAGGGCGTGTCAATCAGGCAAACTGGGGCACAGAGCCAGATAATTCGTGCACATGCAGAAGCTGGTGGGGATACTTTTTCGATTTGCGGCCCGCAAGGAAAAGTCCAGAGGGCGGTCAGAACGAGGCTGGGGCACAGCGCGCGATGATTAGCGCGAGAACGCGCGGAATGCACATGCAAGACGATTAGGCGAGGCGGCCACAGGTGGGCAACCACAGGAGGGGCCCGCAGGTGGGGCACTGGTGGGGATACGCGAAGCGTCAACAATGTGGCATAGGCCACAAGTGTTGGTATTCTAGACGCAGCTAGGTAGACCGCTGCATCGGCATGGAACCGATATCGAATCGCATTGGCTGATCGGATCTCCAAGAAACCAGAGGCGAATCGGATCGAGTTGGCCGAAGTTGGTATCGAATCGAATCAATCGGATCAACTTGAACCCTTGAGGCTCCTCCTACTCCTGCTCTTCCTCCTCCTCCTCCTCCTCCTCCTCCTCCTCTGACGAACACCGCGCGCAAGGCCTCGGCGCAGTCCTGCTGCTCCCCGAACAGCGCGCGCCCGAGCAGCGCCGCCGCCGCCGCACCGGCGCCGCCGAGCCCACCACCGAGCCCGGCGGCGGCGTCCTCGGCCAGCTGCCGCCGCCCGACGCTGATCGAACGGCGGCCATCGGCTGACGGGCGATGGCGACGAAACGCAGCCGACACCAGACGACGGCGACGACGACGACGACGGCGATAACGGCGGCGACGACGACGACGACGGCGGCGATGACGACGACGACGACGACGACGACGACGACGGCGACGACGACGGCGGCAGACGACGACAACGACCACGGTCGACCGACGAATACAGCGACGGCGGACGACGGCGACGGCGACGACGCCGACGCCGACGCCGACGACGATGACGACGGTGGCGGCGATGGCGGCGGCGACGACGGCGACGGCAAAAACAACGGCGATAGCGACGGCGACGGCGAACGACGACCGACGACGAACTAGACGACGACGACGGCGACGACGGCAGCGACGGCGACGGACGACGTTAACAACGACGGACGACGACGACGACGACGACGACGACGACGACGACGACGACGACGACGGCGAACTAGACGACGACGACGGCAGCGACGACGAAACCGACGTTTAACAACGACGGACAACGACGACGGACGACGATGGCAGACGACGACGATGACGATGAAGACGACGACGAAGGCCGACAGCAGGCAACAACGGACGACGGCGATGACGACGACGGTGACGACGACGGCGGCGGCGACTGCGACGACGACGACAACGACGACGACGACGGCCACCACAACGACGACGACGACGACGGCGGCGGCGACGACGACGGCTGACGACGACAACGACGACCGTCGACAGACGACAACAACGACGGCGACGACGACGACGACGGGGGCGGCGATGGCGGCGGCGACGGCGACCGACGACCGACGACGACGACAAATTCGACGACGACGACGACGTCGATAGTGGCGGCGACGACGACCGACGACCGACGACGACGGCGACGACGACGACGACGACGGCAACGACGGCGGCGACGACGACGGACGGGACGAACAACGACGGACGGCGGCGACGACGACGACGACAACGACGACGACGACGACAACGACGACGACGACGACGAAGACGACGGTCGACGGACGACGGACGACGGCAACGACGACGACGACGGCGACGGCGACGACGACGACGAACTAGACAACAACGACGACGACGTCGTCGGCGGCGGCGTCGACGGACGACGGCAACGACGACGGACGACGACGACGACGGCGCCGCCGACGGCGACGACGAAGACGACGACGACGGCCGACAGCAGCCGACGACGGACGGCGACGACGACGACGACGACGACGACGACGGCGAAGACGACGGCGGCGGCGACGACGACGACGACGATACCGGCGACGACGACGCACGACGACAACGGGCGACGGACGACGACGACGGACGATGAAGACGACGACGACGACGACGACGACGGAGGCGACGACGTCGACGATGGCAGACGACGGTGACGACGGATGACCGTCGACGACAACGACGACGGACGACGGCGACGATGATGACCACGACGCCGACGACGGCGGCAATGGCGGCGGCGACGGCGACCGACGACTGACGACGACGACGACGACGACGACGACGACGGCGGCGGCGACGACGACGGCAAACAACAACCGACGACGACGACGACGACGAACTTGACGACGACGGCAACGACAGCGGCGACGACGACGGATGAGGCCAACGACAACGGACGACAACGGACGACAGCGGACGACAACGGACGACGACGACGGACGACGGCGACGGCGCTGACAGCGACGACGACGACGACGACGACGGCTGCGGCGGCGGCGACGATGACGACGACGGCGGCGATAGTGGCGGCGATCGACGACCGACGACGACCACGAACTAGACGACGACGACGGCGACGTCGACCATGGCGTCGACGACGACGGACGACGTTAACGGCGACGGACGACAACGACGACGACGACGGCCGCCGACGACGACGACGACTGTGATTTATGATGTTTTTGTGGTGCCTTAGCATAAGAGGCCCCTTGAGGGTCAAACGGCAGCGAGTGGCGCACGTACGTGTCATGCACACACACACTGTCACACCCGGGAAACTTTGTCACAAGCTGACCGGCTGGGCGCGGCGTATCGCGCCCACAAACTTGCAGGCCGTCAAGGGGCAGCAGGAGGCAGTAAAGGCGTCCCCGCGAGGGAACAGGTCAAAGGCGGCACATTGGCCCAGTACCACCTCCTAGGTAGAATGGCGTTCACTCAGTGCAGTCATTTCCCCATGTCGGGATAGTGCTCATTACGGATCTTACGTACTTATCCGTTGTGGTAGTGTTCAGCCTGGCCCTCGCCAGCTGCTTCTTTACTTTCTTAACCGTCGACTCTGGCTCCGGTGTTATATCAGAAGTTCCAGTACGTAATATGTTTACTAATGAATCACTGGTCTCGGGGCGACCTCGTATTTTTGCTCATGGCGTCTGCCACCGTGGATAAATACCCTCTCCGTGGGGCTGGCGTTTCATCCAGAGTCATTTTCTGACGGCCCCGTGGGCAGGAGACGGGCTCCGCAGGCAAGGGGCCGCGTCTTTTTCACAAACATCAATCAGCAGCAAAGGTAACTGCGTGGGGGGAGGGAAGAGGGAGGAGAAGAATGGGGAGGGGAATGGGAATGGGACATGGGGCGCAGTCCGAGTACTGGACCCTGCCGCCGCGGCGGCTGGCCCCGCCCGGCCGACCGCACCCGACGGTGCGCCGAGCGGTCACGGCGCCGCGTGGCGGTAGGCCACGCGCGGGCCACAGCCCCGGGCGAAACCGAGGAACCTTGGAGGAGGGGTGAGAGCCCCCCCAGCAGCGACTCCCACAGGGGGAGAGAATGGGAGGGATGAGGAAGCGGAGGAGAAGGGAGAGGAGAAAGAGGACTGATCCGAGCTGCCTGCACCATCCCCCGAAGTGCCAAACTCGCTGCTGGTAGACGCGTTACCTGTCCTCGCCCTCGCAGCTCGCCGGACAGTATCCACATCCTGAATGCCTGGAATCACGCCCTGGGTCCATCATGGGGAGCTGTGGATACGGATTCGCTTGCTCCTCGAAGTCTCGGGACACGATCTCGAAACGGATATACTTGAGGCCCAAACGAAGATGACAGTGCCGCCACTCTCCAGACCCCTCACAAGGTGCGTTCTGACAAAATTCCAGGGCGAATCTAGCCGTGGCAGCGAGGGTCCTCCCCAGGAGGCTTGAAAAGGCGGAACCGAGAGAAGGTTACCGGCATCGGCATGCCTTCCTCTTCCGAGCGCTAAGGCGGTGGATGCCCACGCTTCTGAGCATCGTTGAGCCGATCCCTGTCCGCACTGTCGTGGCCTTGGCCACATTGGCCGACGTACCCACCCAGATAGGGATGGATGGTGCGCCCGTGAGCCTCGCGAAGGCCTCGCGAATGGGATCTCTCCCACCCCGTGGTCGGGGCGTCGCGTGGTGGAGGTGGGTGCCGGTGCCCCCGCGGATCCCACTGCGGGTGTGGAGTGGTGCTGCGGTGCCGTCGTCGTCGTCGTCGTCGTCGTCGTCGTCGTCGTCGTCGTCGTCGTCGTCGTCGTCGTCGTCGTCGTCGTCGTCGTCGTCGTCCGTCGTCGTCCGTCGCCGTCGCCGTCGCCGTCGCCGTCGTCGCCGTCGTCGTCGCCGTCGCCGTCGCCGTCGCCGTCGCCGTCGCCGTCGCCGTCGCCGTCGCCGTCGTTCGCCGTCGCCGTCGCCGTCGCCGTCGCCGTCGCCGTCGCCGTCGCCGTCGCCGTCGTCGTCGTCGTCGTCGTCGTCGTCGTTGTCGTCGTCGTCGTCCCCCATCCCATCTGGGGGCGGGCCTGCGGAACCCCGGGGCCCAGCCCATCTGGGGGGCTGGGAAGAGGGGCTGTGAATCCTCGACCCCGGATCATATATGCCTGTTCCTTAGGGCTCCGCGGGGCCTATCCCGACCTCAAAGGGAAGGCTGGCGGGGATGAGATACCATGGCCCAGTGGGGATGGGGATAGGTTGGGTTCCCTTTGATGCGTTTAAGGCCTGTGGAGGCCAAATGAGGCCCACGTGCATAAGGCTGGCGCGGGAACATATACAACAGCCGAGCAAGTACAGAGCCTCGGGGTACGTGCGCCAGACCCTCGCACACAGTTAGACCCTGACCCAGGGATACCCAAGGGAAAGGATTAGACGATGCTGCGCCTCGCGTCAAGGCAACCCGTCGTTACCCCATCGGTCTGACCTCCCTTGAGGCGCGACGTCAGCGGACCATCAACTCGGGGGGGAAACATCGAGACGGAATCTGTGACACGTTGCCGATAGATCGGCGATAGCCCCCGATGGCGAGGCGAATCCGCGAGTTCCTGGGCGGGGAGGGCTACCAGGCCCCTATCGGCGAGAGATGGGCGATTCCGGGTCAATGCATCCCCGCCTTCGGCGGTGGATAAACCTCCCTTTAATAAACCTCCCCTTAGTGAAAACGGCCTGTGACCCAAACCGACGGACCTGGACCCGCAAAAATGACGGCCGCGACACCCTCTCGCGAACCGAAAACGGCCAATTCCTGAATCGACGTGTCAGGGTAGGAGGTCTATCCACCTCCGACCCCTGAGCCTGTCCTCTCCCGCGGGGGCGGCGCATGAGCTCCTGCATATCCTCGCCCGCCTCGCCGCCCAGCGCACCGCTGGCCGACCTCGGCGGGCCGATCGTTGGGCGCGGGCGCGGGCATCTCGGGAGAGGCTGCTTGGGAGTTGGTAGCCGCGCGGGAGAAGAGGGCGTCCTCGGCGTGCGAGCACAACGACGACACCGCGACGACGACGACGACGACGACGACGGCGACGACGACAGACGACGGACAACGACAGACCACAGACGACGACGACGACGACAGACGACGACGACGACGACGACGACGACGACGACGACGACGACGACGACGACGACGATGGACGGAATCGACGTCGACGACGACGACGGCGGGCCTCGCCGAGACGACCGCGGCAACCTGCAGACAGCGACGGCGGCGGACGACCGGCGACGCCGCGGCGGCGGGCCAACAGCAGGGACCCGTCGGCCGCGTCACCGCGTGCGTCCGGCGGCGACTCGCGGTCGAAATGCAGGCACACCGGCGCGCTGCCGTCCAAGAAGCGCAGCTCCAGACCCGTCTGCCTCCCATGCGGCCACCGCCGCCGCCGCCGATGTCGTCTGCGTCGCCAAGGTCGTCATTGTCGTGGCCGTCGCCGTCGCCGCCGCGCCGCCGTCATTGCCTGCGCTGCTTCTCGTCGTCGTCGTCGCCGCCGTCGTTTTCGGGCGCCTAACTTTTGTTGGGCCTCCCGACAACGTTGCTGTCGTCGCTGGAGGAATGGGGAGTGCGGAGGCCAACGGGTAGTCTTTGCTTGTCAACTCCTGGCTTTGCGAACTTACCGTCGCCCATGCGGCCCGCATGCGGTGATTGTTATCCGTGCCCACTGAGTTGTGAAAGCTGACAACCTGGCCGAAATATTCAATGCTGTCGTCGTATGGGATGATTGCGATGTCTGTCCTGGAAACGCGCGGTGCCCAAGCTCGCCCTTCCCATGCACTGCGTGAGATTGGATAGAGTCTTGGCCTTACCCAGGTGTAGTTCGAGTCCGCGCGATTGTGCAGCTCAGGCAGTGAAGGTGAACATCGTTATAGGGTGCGGGATAATGTGGCTGGTGTCAGGAACACGTCGGCGAAGCGCTGTTTGCTGAGCGTGCTGGCCAAGTTAGATGTCCGTGCCTCCGCTGTGCCATTTGGTGACCAGCGGCGCGATAATGTTTTGTATGGCAGCATTGAAGAGTAGAGAGGTCAGCGGTCGCCCTGCCTCGTGCCTCGCTGAAGGCCAACGGGCCCACAAATGACGCAAGTCTGAATTGTTGTTGCTTGTCCCTCGTTGGTTTGTTGGGGTACATACATACACATATACTAGAACCATCGCGCGCGCTTCGCGCGCGCTGAGGTTCTAGCAGGCCCCAGGCCTTGACGAATTCACTGCTCCACTGAAGTAGTGGACCACAATCCACGCATGCCAATCTGCATTCCGGAAGGCCTTCGAGGAAAATGGTTGTGTAGGGGGCGGAGGCCGTATGAATCGGGTTCCCAGAAGGCCTTCTGGGAGCATGGGTTTGGGGCGTCTTGGGGAGCCTGTTGGGGCGTGCCGTCGTCGTCATCGTCGTCGTCGTCGTCGTAATGTCATCGTCGCCTATTGGGGCGCGCCGTCGTCGTTGTCGTCGTCGTCGTCATCATCGTCATCGTCGTCGTCGTCGTCGTCGTTTCGTCGTCGTCGTCGTCGATTCAAGAGGGCACTTGGGGCAACTTTGTGCGAAACGATCTGCGGAGGGCCGCGAGAAGGCGATCAGTCATGTTCCCAATCAACTTCCCAGACAGCTCTCCTGTAGCATGATGGTACTCCGAAGCCTCCAGAGACTCGCGGGCCCATGATGAACCATGTCCCAGGAAGGCTTTCTGGGGACATGTTTTTTTTGGGGTGTGTTGGGGGGTCTCTTGGGCGTTCCCTGGGGGCCCCTTGGGGGCCTCCGGGAACTCTCGGGCCCATGATGAACCATGTCCCCGCCTCTAGGGCCAGAGACCTCGAAATATCGGTTGGCGGTCCCCCTCTGGGCCCTCTCTTGGGGAGCTCTTGGGGCACAGTTGGGTTGTCTGGGGAGCCTCCTGGGCCGTCTTGGGGCCCTCTTCTGGGCCTCGTGGCCCGTCTCGGAGCGAAGGGCCTCCGAGCGAGGCCGTGAGGGAGCGCTGGGAAGCGCTTGAACGTCTAAATCCTTCAAAAGGCATCGGAAAATTAGTGAATCTTGCCTCCCAGGGCCCTCTTGGGGAGCCTCTTGAGTCCGTCCTGGAGCGTGTTGGAGTCCTCGTCGGCCGTCTTGAGGGCAGCTTGGGCGTCTTCGGGGCCTCTTGGGACCGTCTAGGGCCCCTCCATTAGCTTGTCGTGGCCTGCTTCGGGCCGGGCTCGGGCCGCCTCGGGACCCCTCTGGGCCTTCTCTTGGCGCGCTCTTGGGGCACACTTGGGTTGTCTGGGGAGCATCTTGGGCTGTCTTGGGGCCCTCGTCGGCCTTCTTGGAGCGATCTGGAAAGGCCTCCGAGGCCGTGAGGGAGCGCTGGAAAGCGGGAAAAGCGAGAACGCCAAAATCCCAAATACTCGGAGAACGAGTGAATCTTGCCTTCCAGGGCCCTCTTGGGGAGCCTCTTGGGTCCGTCCTGGAGCGTATTGGAGTCCTCTTCGACTGTCTTAAGGGCATCTTGGGCGTCTTCGGGGCTTCGTGGGACCGTCTTGTGTCCTCTCGGGACCCCCTTAGCCTGTCGTGGCCTGCTTCGGGGCGGGCTCGGGCCGCATCGGGAGCTCTGGACCCCCCCCCCCGCAACCCCTGGTGGGCACCGATGGGGGGAACAGGCAGCGGCCCGCCCCCCCCCCCTCGGGCCTACTCCGAGATAGAGAATCGTGTTCCCAGGAAGCTTTCAGGGAGCATGATTTGTTCGGCTCTCTAAGAGGGGGGCCTCTGGGGGCTTACCGAGGGGCGCCTTTTGGCCTTGTCGGCAAGCCTATTGGAAACATGGTTGGGACGGTGGGCGGAAGCCCAAGGAATCATGTTCTCAGAAAGCTATCTAGGAAATACGATTTACCGACGTGTTCTGGGGGCCCGCAGGGGACTTTCCTGGGGGTCCCTTGGGGGCCTATTGGGGCTTCCGGAGAGCCTCTTGATGGCCTCTGGGGGCGTCCTAGGAGCCTCTCAGGCCGGAGACCTCGAAATCTCGCGCTCTTCGGGCCCTCTTGGGTCGCTCTTGGGGCTCTCTTGGGGCGCTCTCGAGGCCCTCTTGACTTATCTGGGGAGCCTCCTGGGCCGTCTCTGGGCTTTCTTGGGAGTCTCTTCGGCCGTCTTGGAGCGATCTGAAGAGCCCCTGACGCGGTCCGGGACCGTGGGGAGGCGGAACATGGGGGAACGCAAGAATGCTTCAAAAACCATCGGAACATGTATGAATTTCGGCTTCTGGGGCCCTTTGGAGGGGCCTCTGGAGGCGCTCGTGGGGCGTTTTGGCGGCGTCGTCGGCCGCCCTGAGGCCATCTTCGGCGTGTCCGGGGCCTCTGGGGGCTGTCTTTGGGCGTCCTGAGAAACAGGAAATCATGTTCCCAGAGAGGCTTCCAGGAACATGATTTCGAACGAGGCTCTCTTGGGCCTCCCTGAGGCCGTCACGGGACCTCCTGGGCTGGCTTTGGGGCCTCTTGGGCCGTTTTGGGGGGTTCCGTCAGCCCCACAGGACGACCCTTTCGGGCCGTCTTGGGCCCTCTTGGGTTGGGGCTCCTCGGGGGCGTCTGGGACACTGTGAAGACGAAGCAAGCGAGTATGCTGAAAATGTACGTTTTACTACGGGAATGGGCTGATTTGTGCCTCTTGAAGGCCCTCTTGGGCCCTTCTTCGGCCATCTTGAAGCCATCTCGGGCCCTCCTGGGCCTTGCTGAGGCTGTCTTGTGGGCCTCTTGGGCGTCCTGGGAGCCCAGAAATCATGTTCCCGGAGAGGCTTCCGGGAACATGATTTCGAACGAGGCTCTCTTGGGCCTCCCTGAGGCCGTCTTGGGGGCCTCCTGGGCCGGCTTCGGGGCCTCTTGGGCCGTCTTGGGGGGGTCCGTGAGCCCCACGGGGCGATCTTTTCGGGCCGTCTTGGGCCCTCTTGGGTCTCTCTTGGGCTGTGTTGGGGCTCCTCGGGGGCGTCTGGGGCACTCTGAAGACGAAGCAAGCGAGTATGCTGAAAATTTAGGTTTTACGATGGGAATGTGCAGATTTGTGCCTCTTGAAGGCCCTCTTGGGGCCTTCTTCGGCCATCTTGAAGCCATCTCGGGCCCTCTGCGGCCTCGCTGAGGCTGTCTTGTGGGCCTCTTGGGCGTCCTGGGAGCTCGGAAGTTATGTTCCAGGAGAGGCTTCGGGGAACATGATGACGAACGAGGCTCTCTTGGGCCTCCCTGAGGCCGTCTTGGGGGCCTCCTGGGCCGGCTTCGGGGCCTCTTGGGCCGTCTTGGGGGGTTCCGTGAGCCCCACGGGGCGATCTTTTCGGGCCGTCTTGGGCCCTCTTGGGTCTCTCTTGGGCTGTGTTGGGGCTCCTCGGGGGCGTCTGGGGCACTGTGAAGACGAAGCAAGCGAGTATGCTGAACACGTACGTTTTACAATGGGAATGGGCCGATTTGGGCATCTTGAAGGCCCTCTCGGGGCCCTCTTCGGCCATCTTGAAGCCATCTCGGGCCCTCTTGGGCCTCGCTGAGGCTGTCTTGTGGGCCTCTTGGGAGTCCTCGGAACCCGGAAATCATGTTCCCGGAGAGGCTTCCGGGAACATGATTTCGAACACGGCCCTCTCGGGCCTCCCTGAGGCCGTCTTGGAAGGCTCCTGTGCCGGCTTTGGGGCTTTTTGGGCCGTCTCGGGCGGTTCTGTGAGCCCCACAGGCCGACCCCTTTGGGCCGTCTGGGGCCCTCTTGGGTCTCTCTTGGGCTGTCTTGGGGCTCCTCGGGGGCGTCTGGGCCACTGCGAAGACGAAACCAGCGAGCATGCTGACAATATACGTTTTACGAAATGAATGGGCAGATGTTTGCCTCTTGAAGGCCCTCTTGGGGCCCTCGTCGGCCATCTTCAAGCTATCTCGGGCCCTCTTGGGGCGTTCTTGGGCGTCTTCGGGGCCTCTTGAGGCTTTCTTGACCATCTGTACGGCCCGCGTGGCCTGTCGTGGGCAATTTGGAAGCGGCCTGGGGCAGTCCCGGGGGGTCTGTGACCTCCCAAAGGAAAGGTTCGGGGGGGACGCCCATGGGGGATGATGGCACCCGTTTTGCCCCCCCCCCCCCGGCCTACTCCGACACACACACACACACATATATATATATATATATATATTATATATATATATATTACATATATATATATATATATATATACTATATATACATATATATATATATACATACATGTGTTCGTCGGACGCGTTGCGCCTTTAGTGCTGCCCAAATGCAGTTGTGCTCGACTGAACAGACACCCTTCTGGTTCCAAGGGGGAACACAAACAAAGAACATACTCGAAAAAGGGCTCGATCCACGAAACCCGAAAAGATATAGAGCTGCCCGGGCATGGGCAATGGGCACTGTCGGGGGTATCCG